AAAAAACAAATAAATCCCAGAGTTCTTTTTCGTATGCTGCATCAGTTTTGTTGTTTGGAAAGATCTTCTCTGCCCCCATTTTTTTCCTTGCATTGCCAGAGAATCAGCCTATGCAGTGGATGTGTTCATGAGTTTGCAAATGGAAGAAAGGATTAAACAATATTTATTCTTTTGAATGTCTTTAACCTGGGAGTTGCCTCCTTTTGTCATGGCAACATTCACGCAATAACAGGTGTCAACATGATTTCACAACAGCTCTTTCAGAGATTTGAATAATCCTCGTATCTCTTCGTACGTACAGACACACAGAATTTTTACTGAAATGTCTTAGATATTAGTAGCTGGGCTTATTCCCTTCTATTGTCATTTAGGGAATTGTTAAATAGAGGGAAAATTGAAGGGAAAAATCTCTTGCTCTCTTTGAATTGTTCTTTGTACTGATTTGCTTTGTTTGCTGAGAGAAACTAGACAGAAATCTTGTCAGAAACTAATGCTTGCTCACTGTTGTCAGGAGCGGGAGGACTCCAGGCAGATTTGGTACACTTAAATGATGTCTATATTGCAGTTAGACATCCTCATACCATCTGACTCAGGCTTGTGGGCCTCAGGGTAAGAGGTTTGTTTTTATGTGGAGCAGACATTTGGGCTCAAGCATCAGTTCGAGTTTAGGTTCAGGAGCCTGAGCTGCAGCCCAAACCCGAATATCTATACTGGAGTCAAACAACCCCTTAAACCAAGCCCTGTGAGTCTGAGTCTGCAGGCACAAGATTAAAGTAGCAGGTTTTTAATTGCAGTTTAGACCTACTCTTACTAGCCATGATTTTCAAAAGCCACCTTCCTCCTTCTCCTTCCCGCTCCCTGAGATACTTGCTCAACACTGTCTGAAAATAAAGTGCCTTTAAGGCAAAGACAGGCAAAATATGGCCTGCTGGTCAGATCCAGCCCACTAAGGGCAGGCTCCCTGCGTGTCAGAGCAACCAGCTGTGGGGGCCATGTGCTTTTCTGTGTGCCACAAGCTGGAGGCGGGGGAGCAGGTGTGGAGAGACTGGCCAATGTTTGCAGCATAGACAGCTCGTAAAGTACCTCCCCAGTCCATGGGTGTTCAGGGAAGCACATGGCCCTTGCAGGGCGCCTGCTTGAGGGACTTGCTGGCTGGGAGCCGCTCTGGCCACGTGGCACTTACCTAGGCCTGCATCAGGCAACCCATTCCTCCCACATCCCAACTGTCTGCTTCCCCTCTTGCACTCCTACCCCAGGTAACAACCCAAACCCTCTGTACCCTGCTCACCTATATCTCTACCAGACCCTGCACCCCAATACGCTGCTTAACTCACAACTCCATCCTGCCCTAGCTCAAAACTGAAACCCCTGCACTAGTGTTCCCAATAAGCTAATTACTTGGGCGCTTTCCAGGAGAGATTCAGCTGCTGCCTATCTGATTGGCAGAGTGCCCACAGCTGACCATAGCCAGAGGCATGTGTTTCTATTTGTGGTACACATCCCTTGGTACACATAACAAAATTCATTCCACACATAAATGGAAAATCTTAACGGGAACATTGCCCTGCACCACTGCTGCACCCCTAACCCAGATCACAGTCCCCTCCCAGACTCTGCAACCCCCCTACACACACCTCTCTTCCAAGTCAGAATCCTATCTTGCCTCCCTCACAGACCTTGCACCTCCTACTGGACCCCAATTTTCTGCTCCAGATCACAACCCTCTCTTTCATCCAAACTCCCTCACAGACCCAATACTCGCTTCTGTGCCCAACCTCCATCCCAGATCCCACACCTCCATTAAAGAGAATGGCACTTGACCACTTTGTAATTCTTGGAGTAGCCTCTTATCAAAAATTACTGATCACTCCTGCACTAAGGCATCCCAGGTCAGAGATGCAAAAGACTAGTCACTTCTAAAATTGGCTGCTATTTTAATCATTAGAAAGTTTAAAACAATTTTAAGAGTAACTTCTGGCTAAATTAATAAACATACTTCAATGTCCAACTCCTCATAGCTTAGGTAGAGGACAGAGAAATGGCATAAAAGAAATTCTGACATCTGATATTTTCACAGGTCTCTTCCTCTTTCTCTCTCAACCACTCTGCATTATACAGTAATATAGATATTCCCTTACCAGGAGCTAGAGAAATCCATTTTGATTGGCAGCTGTACCTGGAGTGCTGCAGTAAATACAGTAGCATGACCATATGTATAATTAGCAGCTAGTATCTTATCAAGGTACCAATGTGTGGCGCTTTTTTCTTTTATTTCTGGTACTGGGAAAACAATTATCAATATATCCTGGAAACTTCTGTACAGTTCGTTTTATTTACTTCCTACTCCAATGTAGATTGACATTCAGCCCATCGGATCTGTGGATTTAGTGCACCCTCTGTAACATGCACATATATGATCTTTCATAGTGCTGGATTCCTCCGTTTGGTTTTTTTATCTTTAGGTTGTAGTGAGAGGGAAGAAGGTGATTAATATGTACAAGAATTTGTTCACTACTTCAGTGCATAAATTGCATAGAACCCGAGATCTATGCCCAAAGGAAGAGAAGAAAATCTAATTCAAATCTGGTCCCAGCTTTCAGTGTTACTGAGTAGAAGTAAACCATACAGGTTGGATCTCTGTAATCTGGTACTCTCTAGTCCAGCAACATCCATGATCTGGAATGATTTTCTTAGCCAGATGTCCACTTACCATGAATGTAGTCTAGTTTCCCACAATCCCATCAAGTTTATCATCACTGGCCCTGATTCTGTGTGCTGTGCCATTATTTAGCTCCAATTTACCCCTAAATTTCTTTTATGAGCCCAGTAAACAGTGGAAGTGTTGATAATGCTGCTAGACAATATTGACTTCCTGTGGTTCAGCAAATTCTCTGGTGCAGCACCGGTCAGATCCCGAGGGTGCCGGATTAGAGAGGTTCAACATGTACAGGCATTTACAGCTTAAAAAGGTGATTAGCTTGCTGCTTATGATTGGAATTAGTGCCCACCTAAGGGGAATTAATAAATAATCATCTTGGGTGCTTTAGGAATGGAAATAGTACCAAAGTAGCGTCTCATAGCTGAAATTGCATAAATTAGATTGATGGCCCTCGGTAGGGTTGACTTAGGCATTAAATGCATGAAGGTGTTGGGGAAGAAAGAACCTAGCAATGTAGCCAGGGCTGTGTAGTGCACTATCTGTCCATACTACATACTTTGTGTCTTGGCCAGGTACATACTGAGATGGCTAGCCTGCATTGCTGTGGCTATGCTTCTATTTTTAGCACACTAGTATGGTCAAAGGTAGAACACATCTCTGCTTGAGCTGAAAATTGCATCTTCCCACTCCTACCTGAGTACTGGAGAATTCACATTCTTCCAAAGACAATGATGAGATTGAATTGTGTTAGAGAGCGAAGCTATGAAAGCCTCAGAAGGATTTAAAGACACAGATTTTCTTCCAAGAGCTTAGATGGTTCAGGAAGAGATTGAAGCGGCGATTGCTGGAAATCAATCTTATCTCACCAAGATTGGAAGAGCTGGGTTTTTATTGTGTTAAAAATCCTTTTCTCTTGTTTTGCGGTATTCCTATGTTTAATCTAAACAGTACTTTGTTTTTGCAAGGCAGACCTGGGTTACTGTATTAACCATGGATCACAGCTCCCAAAGGAAGGAACTGCAGGTGGCTAAACACAGTCCGACCTGTTAGACAGTGCAACCTAGCACTCTGCCACAGAGTGGGAGAATGTCAGGATTCTCCTCCAAAGAGGGGCAATCAGACAGACAAGAAGAAGGGTTAGAAATGCAGTTAATCCTGAAACATGACACACATGCAGCAGCAGCCAGAGGCATGCTTTCTTCCACTGCTGTTCTGAATTGGTTTTCCTGTTGCCTCCCCCAGACAATTAGTCATATTGAACAGAGTGCACTCAGCAAACATGATAACTGCTGAGCATGAGCATGTGACGAGGAAGACACTGGCTTTTTTTTTTTTTTTTTTTTTTTTTTTAATTCTGAAACACAGGTAATTCCCGTATTAGCTCACTTAGTCCTGTAGGGCTATTGCTTATGCTAAGGCCCAGATCTAGCCATTGACTCTGCACAAATAGTACTGTTTGACACATTTTACTGCATTCACTTAATTAGGATTCTAGATTAATTGGAATTCCATGCAAATGCAGGGGTCCTAGTGGGTAGAGTGCAGAATAGAAACCAGTGGCACTTGGCATATGGTTTTCTTACTGCTTTAAAATACTGTGACAGGTGCCATATTCATTAAGTCTTCCAAGCTAAAGATTTTGTGGGCATCCTTCTGGGGGTGTAGAACTGGCATAGTAACTGTGTTCTTACCTTTTATCATTTGATAATTGTGCTATTGCAAAGAAACAAATGCTAGTGCAAGGCATCTCTCTCAGTGTATTTGAATGAAGAGCAGAGCTGGAGCAGTGCCTTCCAAGGCGCAGCACAAAGCAAAGGGAACGGGACTAAAAATGGTATGGGACAGTTCAGAGTGCCCAATAGTCTTTTCCATTGTGATGTCTTGGGATAATTAATAACTTTTGGCTATGTCATTTTGATTCTTTCAAGCCATTTAAATGCAAGGAGTTGACAGAAGTTAAGCATGGGCCCATGGGGGTGAGGGGAAGAGGGAGAGGGAGATTGAAGATGAAGGCAGGAGCAAGACTTGTACAGAGCAGAGCAAATCCACCTACGAGGCTGTGGGATATCAGAGCCAGATTTGCAGAATTGTGCCGCCATTTAAGCAACAAAATAATTGGTCAGATTTTCAGCATGGCGAGCTTTTTAAAAAATCTTACTCTGGGGGAAGGTGAAATGGGTATAAGGCAGGGGTTAGCAACCTATGGCAAGCTGGTTTTGAGCGGTATGTGGGGAGCTCAGCCTTCCTCTCCCCTCACACAGC